GGTAATTTAACTTTTACTATGTTTTGATTTAAAATGTCTTTTTAATTGTGGCCCTTCTGAACTATCGGCATACAAGGCAGTCTCCAGCCACAGTCGCTGCTATTAACATGCATGCAGCAGGCTGTGACCAGGGACACATAAGTGTTGTGGGCAGGAGTCAGTTGTGAAAGCGGCCTAAAGCCATGATGGAATTCAAAGGGAACAGGCCCAAATGAGTGTCTGCGATGAGAAGAGCACAGCTGAGAGTAGGCATTTTCCTGCAAGAGAGAAGCATTTGCTTTGGACTTGGTTTCTGATAAGTGCCCTCTGACTCTACTCTTCACTGGTGTCTCAGCTCCACAGGGTTCAGTGCCAAGACCTGGGGCTGCTGGCAGAGCAGGGCAGCTACAGGAGCCTGTGCCACCACAATGGCACCATGTGCAGTTGTTGGGAAGCTCTTTGCTCAGTTCACACCAGTACCTGTGATGCTTTGGCCTTGTCTGGTTGCAGCAGTTCTGTCTGCTTTGCTGCAAGCCAGTCTCGTCTTGCTCTCCAAATTCATGGCTGAAGTTAAGTGGACTTAGAGTGAACATGGTGGTGGGAGGTCTTATTAAATGGGAGTTGTGCAGTCGTTTCTTGCCACAAAGATGTGCTGTTATTTGTGTCTCACTAACAAACAGCAGAGTGCAGCCAGCTGGTGTTCAGAAGCTGCACGCAAGCTGGGTCAAGGCTTGGTTTGATAATGTTGGTTTCTGTTTCCCTGTCCTTGGCATGTTCCCAACTTCTTGTGCTGCTCTCTGGGTTGAGGCTTGTAGTCCTGGGGCATCGCTGCAGAAGGATGGGGGACTGGGTCTGTCTTGTTGCTGTGCTTCAGTCATTATCCCACAGCTGTGTTGCATCACTGCCTGCATCATGATCAGTCTTGACTTTTCATCACCCTTTTCTCAGCTGCTCTGTGCAGTCACATCAGGCTCAGAAACAAACTTTCTTGCAGCAGTTAGTCACCCGCCTAGGCAGGTGCTTTATAACTCTGCAGAAAGTTAGAGGGTTTCTGTGCAGACACCCAGTTTCCTATGTTACAAGAAAAATACAGTTACAATCATCATCTCCCCACAAGTAGAGATGAAATAGAAAGTTTGGACAAAGGCAGCTCACCTTGAAATTGCCCCTTCTGGCATATGTCTGCAGATGCAGTGTCTGTCTCCTGTCTTGGCTACCCAAAAGGTGTCTTAGAGATTACTGGACCTTGAGTATGAGAGGAATCTGGTGAGTCTGTGATAGGTTTGGGTTGGTGAGGTACAGTATCTGAGTGATGGCTTGGTTGAGGACTCAGGACCCCTGTAGTTTTTCTGTGAAGTGCTGGAAATGTTCCCTGAGCCAGGGCTGAGCAGCTTCTCTTGGTCTGTGTTTTCAGATAGCACTTCAGTGGTGCCAAAGAGAACAGACCCCAGGAGCCTCTGTCCTCTATGCACTGCAAGCCTTGCTTGTAGTGAAATGAGGCGTCACCAACACAAGGTGATGGGCTTGGGGGTTGCTCCATGGTCTAGGGAAGACCCTGGCTCTTCCCTATGGCTCTGCAGGTCCTCAGTAGCCCCTGCCTCCTCAGGCAGCCTGGCAGGACCAACCTGTTGCTGACTCCTCACACAGCCGTGTGTGTGCAGGAAGCACATTAGTCTTTAATCCTCTAATTGAGAGTTTCAGTAACAACTTGTCTGTAAAGATCAAAAGCAGAGGTACAGGCTTCTTCCTGCCTGGTTCCAAACCTGGGTGGGAAGATTCAGTTTCCCTGCACACAGGTGCCTCCTATTCTATACAAGCAGCTCTTGCAGCCTGGCAGAGGAGCTGTAGGGCTGCCTACCCCCAAAAAGCCCCACAGGAGGAGGGTAGTATCCTGGCTTGGCTGAGTGTGGTTAGTAACCTTACCAGGACACAGATAATCACAATACCCATGCTTGCATGAGGGTGTTTCCCCCTGGGTGCCAAGGCACACATGGTCCATGGAGAGGGCTGTATTTCATGTGCTAAAAAGGCAGTTGAAGCGGGTTATGTGACCGGAGAAAACCTTGGTGGCCATTTAGCATGTTACCAAGCAAGCTGCAGGGTGTGGAGGACTGCTCCCATTGTGCAGAAACAAAGCTGAGCTATTCACTGGCCTGTGACAGGCACTGGGACTGGAAGAAATGCCATCGAGGTTTAGATTAATTTCTGTGCAGCCTTTGGAGCCCTGTTCAAGAGCTGACAGATACCATGTGAAGATGAGAGGTGGTGGGGCTGCCTCCCTCTGTGATTTGCAGCCCCAGTTCCTCCTCACTGGGGCCCCATACAGATCTGCAGTGTTTCCTAGAAATAAAAGGACATTCTTTTTCTCTCTCTCTGCCTGTCCCATCTGTGCAGGGAAGTGAGATCTCGAGCCTGGGAGAAGGCCTTCAGTGGGTGGCTCCCTTCCCAGCTGGCTGCTGTAAAGGCCAGGTTGGCATTCTGGCTCTGCCATTCCTTCACACTGCTCTCAGCACTCTCTTTCAGAGCCCCGTGTGCCTTTTGAGCTCAGCTCTTCCCATTAGTGAGTGAAATGAAGCCAGCATGCAGCCTTTGGTCAGGATTACCCGTTGACCTGCACAGCCAGAGAGGTGAGACATGCCCTTAGCTCACCCTGACAGCCAGCACTTGCTCTGAAGAGCTGGGAAGGGGCTGGTGTTGGTTTGTGTGCAGCTGGAGGGAGCAGCGCAAACCCACAGCAGAATAGGCCATCTGTCACTGCTGTGCAGATCTGCTGGGCTCCACTGCGCTCAGCATTTCACCTTGCCGTGTGTGCTTCTGCCCCCCAGAGAATATCCCTCTGCATCCCAGATAAATGTGGATTCTCACCAGGGTTTGGCACGTCCTCTGCCTCTGTACCCTCCTCCCGGCACCCAACAATGGGCATGTCATAGAATCACAGAATCCCGGACTGGTTTAAGTTGGAAGAGACCTTAAAGCTCATCCAGTTCCAACCCCTGCCACAGGCAGGGACACCTTCCACTAGACCAGGTTGCTCCAAGCCCAGTCCAACCTGGCCTTGAACACTGCCAGGGATAGGGCAGCCAGAGCTTCTCTGGGCAACCTTTGCCAGTGTCTGTCTACAGTGTAAAGCCTGAATGAAGAAAGAAGCAGGTCAGGGGCCTGTTGCTGCTCTGGGCAGGGTGATGGGAAGAGAGGGGACTGCTGTTCTTCTGGTTGTCCTGTGCTGTGGTTGTATAGGGCTGTGTGAGAAGCATTTTCCCCAAGCAGCTGCTGGTGTTTCTGAAGCAGCTCCTTGCTCTGCATGAGTAATGGGCTGGCTGCACGCATACCATGCAGCTGCAGCTCAAATGAGCAGTGTGAATGGCTGTGGGAGCTCCTCTGGAATCCGTCTCTGGAGTGGCTCTGCTCAGTCTGCAGGCTACCCCACGTGTGCTGGCATTCAGCTCTCATACAAAGGTGCTTGGCTCTCATAACTGTCCCCATCTGGAGACTGGACGCTACATCAGTGAAGCACCTCCTGCCCTCCATACCTCTGTCATCAACAGACAGTGAGTCTGGCACCTGAACCTGACTGCCACATCCCTGAGGGAGATGCAGTGACTACTCCATGTCTACATAAAGCTTGGATGGATATTCTTGGTGTCTAAAGCACAAAAATATGTGCTTTAAACATTTTGAGTGAAGGCTGCCACAGTAAGGCTGTTGGAAAATTATTTAAGAGTGGTCACTTTGTTCTTGGCACAAAGCATAAGCATTGCTTCTCTGCAGAAACGTAGCAGTTACTTGGAGCCTGACAGGTCAAGTGCTGTCAGGCAAGAGATGGTCTGGCTTACCTTGAGGGCAGGCTGGGGTGTTTCTGCACATCCGCTGGTCTTGGGCAGTTGGTGGAAGGTGCCAAGCAGGCCTGTCCTTTGTGTTTTCCCTGCCTTGTGCATCTGATTTTAACAAATAACTATTTTCATCTTGTGGTAAAGGTTCCTGGTCAGGCTTATGGCAACTGGTCACATCTTGCTCATTCTAGAGTTAAGCCTTGTCATCGTCCCTGCTTTATTTATGAGTAGTGGCTTATGAGCTTGCGCAATTGAGATGTTTGCCTTTCATTTTTATTGATGAGAGACAGGCCTTTGTGAACAGTGTTTTGTGGTAAGGCACTCCTACCTTTTCTGTCACATCAGACCACATTTTGTCCTGCTTCTCTGTTACACTGACATGGCAGAGCAGTTTTAGCAAAGCCAGCACATGTACCACTGCTTTAGTTAAGCCCTGTGAAACTGCTTCCAGCATTCCTGGAGTATTAGAAATAAACTGCTGAGCTCAGTAGTCGACTCACCAGCACAAGCATGTAGCACTGGAAAAAGCAGAGCCAGGCAGGTAGGCAGGGCATGGCACACTGCATGGGTGCAAGCAGGCACAGGAGATGCACAAGCTGCAGCTGGGCTTGCATGGTCTCTGATTCCTACTTGCTGCAAGGATGGAGCAGAGCACTTGGGGTGATCCAGAGCCCAGCTCTCACTGAGCTCCAGGCTTTTGCATACCATCAGTTCCAGGGAAGTGGCCTGGGGAGCAGCAGTCCCATTCCCTGCAGCTTACTGATGTCCTCTCGACCTCATCCCATGGGGTCATGGTGAGAATGGCTTGGCAAAGGAGGAGAGTGGGTTCCAGGTTTTATACTGAGCAAGGCCATACTGAGGTGTGAATTCCTGGAGCCCTGGTAGCAGCTTCCCCTGGGTCCCCTGCCCAGAGAGGACAAATGTGGCAGGCAGTGGGGGCACACAGGGACCTGTTGTGGAGGTGGAGCTGTGGCAGAGCAGCCAGCGCAGCTGAAGCCCTCTCCATAAAGGAGCTGTTTGTTTTGCTGAATTGTTAAAGCCCTATTGACAATAGCGGCCCCCCCTCCTCTCACACTCAAGGAACTGTGGTGGCCACACACTGATCCTTTCTCTTGTCTTGAGGCACTGAGTTAGAGTTATTCTTCACCAAGCCCCTCTGACTGGCTGTTGCCTTTTGTCCTTGCTCTACAGGCATACGAATGGGCCTTGGAAGGTATGCGGCACCTTGCCTGCATCAGCATGGAGGACTGCAGCTCCACTGAGCACTGCACAGATGTGATCCAGTGCCTGGAGAGTTACAAGGGACAGCACCCAGACATCAGTGATGCCCGGTTCCAGGAGATGAAGGAGCTGGCCTGTGAGCTGAAAAGTGACAAGGGGCTCAAACAGTGGAAGTTCGCATGGTCTAAATGCCAGGAGACCAAGCTGGTTTTCGAAAAGAAACTCGAAGCAGCCTTAAGAACAAGGAGGTCTCTGTGGTCAGACCAGAAACCAGCTTTGGGGGAGCAGCCCCAGGCTGGCAGCCTGTCCCATCGGCGGCACTCTGAGGGGGCCACCTCCAGGTCCCACTGGGACAGGACTTGCAGCACACCCCACTGCTACAACAGGCCCAACTGCACTCTGGGGTGGGCTAAGGAGAAAGTGCCCTTACCCTTCTTGAGCTGCCCTGGTGATGTCAGTGCTGGGGAAGAGCTTGCCTGCCAAGCCACTCTCAGCCCTGGTCCTCAGAGCAGAGTTTCTTTTGCCAGCGGGGTCTCCAAGTCTCCAAAGCTGCCTGAAGAAAAGCCAAACCTGGAGAGTATTTTAGAAACTCCAGAGGTAAAGCCATCCAGCACATCTACTGCTGCTTCTGGGAAGCTGCCTCCCAGGAGGATGCTCCGGAAGGCCCAAAGCTTTGACCTCCCTTGTGGTGAGAGTCTATGGTCAGGCTGCCAGAGGACGCTGAGCGAGCCAGCCAGGTACGGCAACACTGGCGTCTTTATCAAGGGGCTGGAGGTGAGCAGCACCGAGCTGGTGGACAGGACATTCGCTCTGCGACAGCAAGGTGCTCACAACTGGCCTGCAGACTGCCTGGTGCAGGAGGGACCGAGGGGCTGCCTCTCTGTGTCAGAAGCCAAGAGCTGGGGCAGGTAAGTGGCCATGATACTCAGTGCTCAGGTTCTCAGGATATTGAAAAGGCAGCCAGCAAAGATGTGAAGGGCTCTGCAGTGACAGTTACTTTGGGAGAGTATACAGGGCAGATAGATGGAGGTGTAGCTCCAGTTACATACTTTGTTGTAGGACTGCAGCATGGCTAACCTATGGAGAGCCCAGGGATGTGGACTGTGCTTGAAGGGGGATCACAGGGCAGGTCTTTCAGCTGCTCTCACTGTAAAAGATTGAAGAAATCTGGGGAGAGACTTTTGACAAGGGCCTGTAGGCACAGGACAAGGGCGAATGGCTTTAATCTGACAGAGGGGAGATGAAATGAGATCTTAGGAAGAAGTTCTTCCCTGTGAGGGTGCTGAGGCCCTAGCACAGGTTGCCCAGAGAAGCTGTGGCTTTCCCATTCCTGGCAGTGTTCAAGGCCAGGTTGGACGGGGCTTGGAGCAACCTGGTCTAGTGGCAGGTATCCCTGTCTGTGACAGGGGTTGGAACTGGATGAGCTTTAAGGTCCCTTCCAACCCAAACCAGCCTGGGATTCTGTGAAAAAATTGGTAGGAGAGATGAGAAATTAGTGCGGAGGGACTGCAGAGCTCTGCTACTGCTCTGCATGGGAGAGCTGCAGACATCCCCTTCTGGATGGGGCCTCTGATACCCTACCATGTGTCAGGAAAATTCATGTCGGGGGATGAATACCATCTGGCAGGAAAGTGTAATTGCTGTGCTTCTCAAGGGAGTGACGCTGCAGTCCTCCTGTCCGTGGGCACTGTGGCAGTCCCACTGCTGGGTCCTCTGAACAGTCAGAGGAGTTGGCCTGGGGAAGCCTTAGTCAGAGAAGGCAGGCACACGTTGGAATAGTTATGTTTAGTGCTTCACTGCCTCACAGTGGAAACCTCGAGTACCTAAGAGCAATCCTTTTAGAGACGTGCGGAGCAACCCATGCAAGGAATTGCTGTTCGCTGACCAAGAGACACAAGGTTTGTTTCTCACTCTCATTTATATTGGCACAAGCCTAACAGCACCTGTGTCCAGAGCTTCTGTTCTCCCAGGTTTAACTTGCTTCCCACAGCACCCAGTCGTCAGGCTGTCTCCTCCTCACAGAAGTTACCGTGACTTCTGCTGTGCCTGTTGTTTTAGGAGTGCAGCCATTTGCAGAGCAGCCTGTTAAGTTCAGAGCAGGGGCTGGGGTGTGTGTCCTGCTGAGGCTGGGTTAGGACCACAGCCAGCCAGAGGCTCACCCTTCCTCAACAGAAAAGCCAGTGGAATGCCTTTGATCAGCCACGAGCTTTGTCAGTGCTGTCATGGACATTTGTGAATCTGAGCTTGGGTCGTGCTTAGGGGACACCTCATCTCCATGCTGGGTCTTGGGGAGGGATTCTCTAGGGACATCCGTATGCTCTGCAGGCACTGTGACTGCTGTAGCCCTGCTCCAGGCCGGGCCCCTTCAAGGCTGAGTGTTTCCTCTCACAGCAAGCTGCGTCACATCATCGATGAGATGGTAACCACAGAGCGGGAATATGTGAGGTCGCTTTGCTACATCATTGACAGCTACTTCCCTGAGATGGAGCGCCTGGACCTCCCCCAGGACCTACGTGGGAAGCGCAGTGTGATTTTTGGGAACCTGGAGAAACTCTATGACTTCCACAGCCAGTACTTCCTGCGGGAGCTGGAGAGCTGCTGCAACCACCCACTTAGGGTCAGCCACTGCTTCCTCCGACACGTAAGGCACCAGCACATCATCCCCTGGGCCGGGTTCCTGCAGACATGTGTGACTCCTTTGCCCAGAAGTGCCTGTACATCTGGCTGCTCACCTTCACATTAGTGGGCTGTGGCTTTCTTTGGGACCCTGTGCTGGGTTGGTTTGTCCATTGCCAGCTCCAATGCTAGGCTGGACTGGGATGGCTCTGTGAGGCTGAGTCCAGGCAGCAGCAGATGCTCTTTGTCTTTCCTGTGGCTCTTCACTACTAAGAGTCACTGCCAGGGAGGCAGTTTCTGCTCCTTAGAGCCCGCGTGCTTATATAGAGGTATCCCTTACCCTGTCTTCTGCCTGTGGTGTCCGTGTAGAGTGATTTCAGTGAGGGGGGAGATACAGACCTGCTGCTCTTCCTGGAGGGGGCTGCTAGGGAGAAGCACTTGCCACTGGTCTTAAGCTCAGCTGACTCTTGCATGTTTGCTGCTACCAGGTGAATGGTACCTGTTGGGGAATGTAAGGGACAAGGGGTAACAGGACAACGGATTAAAAAGTGTTAGCTGCTTTATGAAGACAAGAACATTCCCTGACTCTTAATGAACTTGAAACAAAGTTACTCCTAATGTCATAGGAGGCTTTGCTGCAGCTTGGGGAGGCAGAGCTAGACTAATCAACCCCGTGCATGGTTGTCACTGCTTCCTGAGTGGGCATTGTTCTCACATGGGATTCTCTTTTGCAGAAAGACCAGTTTGGGATGTATGCTTTGTATAGCAAGAACAAGCCGAAGTCGGACTCACTGCTCGCCAGCCATGGGAATACCTTCTTTAAGGTAGATTCCACTGCCTGCATCATGATTGCTCTTGGTATTTGCGTGTCTGGTCTGTTCAAACAAGCCCAGCTTCCCTGCTCAGGACATGCTCAGCACTTCTCCTGCTTTCCTGGCTCAGCTCTCTGCACAAGTGTACATGGGGGTACAGGAGCAGACATGCAGCGAGTGCTTTGGAAAGGAGCCCAGCACACAGCAGCGCTGGTCCTAGGGTCTTGCATTTCCCTTCAGAGCAAAGAGAGCACCCCAGTGAGGAGAGCTGTATCAGTGCCTGCCTGGGGAATATGGGGTGCTCCACGGGTGCTGCTGCCTTCACTCTGCTGCATTTCTCAGTTCAAGCAGGTGCAGCTTGGGGATAAGATGGACCTGGCCTCCTACCTCCTGAAACCCATCCAGCGAATGAGCAAATATGCCCTTCTCCTGAAGGACCTGATCAAGGAGTGCAGCGAGGCACAAGAGCAGGAGCTGGGATACCTCCGTGCTGCTGAGGAGATGGTGAAGTTTCAGCTCCGGCATGGGAATGACCTCCTGGCCATGGATGCCATCCGTGACTGTGATGTACGTTATTGTTCTCCCCTGCCCGGGGGGTGGAGCCACTCTTCACCTTATCTAGATTTAGGGTCTGTGGGTTGTGTGGTGAGCACCCCTCTCAACTTCCTACAGTGAACAGGATGCGAGTACAGCACAGAAGGACTACTAAGGCACAGGGCAAGGGAACAGCAGGGCTTGGAGGTCTTGATGTGTTAGGAAAGACAGTGTGGATGCTGTTGATTTGAGCTGGGTGAGTTGCTTGTTGCAACACACTCCCTGGTGCTTACTGGTGAGGTGGGGCAGCCTGGCAGCCCTTGCAGATTCCATCCTGCAGACTGCCTTGGGGCTTCCATCTCTTCTGAGCTGGTGATAAGAGAGTCAGGCAGTTTGCAAGAAGGAAATTGAATAGATAGATGCTGATGCCCAAGATAGGCCAAAATCAGCTAGGTGGGACTTGAGGGAGAGGCATGTGAAGTGCAGCACTGGAGGAGGATAAACCCCAGGGCTCAAGGTGCAGAAAGGTGGATCTGGGGCAGGAAAAAGTGAGGGACTGGCCTCCTGACCCAGACGTGCTCCTGGCAGTTTGATGGGACTCCATTCCTCTTCGTCTCTTTTCTTCCCCCAAAAAGAAAGTTCTGGCTGCTGCCTCCAGTTGTCACCCCAGAGGTTTGTTACACATCTGCTCAGGGTGACAGGAGAGGGTCATCTGTGGGTTAGGCATAGGAGAAAGGCACAACTTTTCTCAGCTCTGAGCCACTTGTTTCAGCCTGATGTGGCCTCCAGCAATGCCACACAGCCCCACCTCTTCCAGGAACCCTCCTACGATGACACATAGTTGCCACTTCTTCACCACAGCCACATAGGACCCTGCTATCTGTGGCTGCCCAAGACTTGATCCTGTGAGGTCTTACCAGTGTGTTCCCTGTGTTCAGGTGAACCTGAAGGAGCAGGGGCAGCTGGTGCGGCAGGATGAGTTCACCATCTGGCTGGGCCGTAGGAAGTGCCAGCGGCATGTCTTCCTCTTCGAGGACCTGATCCTGTTCAGCAAGCCGAAGAGGATCGAGGGTGGCTTTGACGTGTACATTTACAAGCGCTCCTTCAAGGTAAGAGCAGCCATGCAGCTCCCTCTTGTGCAAGAAGTGTCCATGGCTGGTTTCCTCATGGACGCATGGCTCTGAACTGGGAAGCAGGAGCACCTTCAGCAGAAAAGCTGCTCCCACCACTGCTAGGACTTCTTCAAGCCATGCACTGAATCCAGAATGGAATACTTCACACTTTAATGCATGGCCCTGCTCTGTGCTATAAGGTGTGGGGCCAAGGTCTTCTGAGGGGACAGGTAATGTAAAGGAAAGGCAGTATGTGCATGGTAGGGAGGTGGTGCTGACTCTGAGTGAAGTCCTGGGAATTGCCTGGGCTGTCTCTGCTCAGCAACATCCAGATAATACCTACTCCTGTCCAGATCCTCAGGCTCTTTCCTGTTGGGTCTGCTGAACTGAGGGTAGCTCTGGCACAGGGTGTAGGCAGGGTTTACCCTTTCTTCTCCTCGTGGAGCCCCAGTTGATGCTTTCTTTTTCTGGCAGACAGCAGACATTGGTCTGACAGAGAACTCTGGAGACAGTGGCCTGCGCTTTGAGATCTGGTTCCGAAGGCGGAAGTCAAGCGACACCTACATCCTCCAGGCCAGCTCAGCCGAGACTAAGCAGGCCTGGACCAGTGACATTGCCAAGATCCTGTGGCAGCAGGCAGCCCGCAATAAAGGTGTGATTCCTTCCTGGGGCGTCTGTGCCGCAAAAGGTGCGGGAGGCCTGTTCAGCTCATGCTGTCCTGAGCAGGTTTGGAGCATGTTAGCAGGCAGCTCTGTGCAGCAAGTGGCTGTGTGCTGGCATGCAGCCTCAGGAGCATGTGCTGAGCTTGGCTGGGCATGTCCCTTCCCTACCCCTCATCCCCAGGAAACCTGACCAGTCCAAGGTCTGTTTCACTGTAGACACCCACTGGACTCAGTGGGAGAAATGGGAGATACTAGCACCGGGTTCCCTGCCCTGTGAGCGTGGGATCTGCTCATGGAAGGCTTCCTTCTCTCCCTGTGATCTGGGCCACTGCTGGAGTGGCAGCTGTCTCAGCCAAGCTGGCTGAGGGTCTTCTCTCCACTGCAGGCTTCCTGCTTGGCAGGACTCTCATAGGCAGCATGGCACTGAGCTACTATGCCAGAGCAGGGCATGACTGCTTGTCACTGGAGGCTCCTCAGGACCAGGGAGCAAGGGAAAGACAGGTCTGATCTCAGTAGTTCAGGAGTAGCCTGGCACAGGAGTGCTGTGGTCTGGAGCTTCATAGTGCCTGTGGGGAGGGTTAGGGCAGCCTCATTATGTGGTTGTGGGTCTCTTCCTCCCCAGAAATCCGAATGCAGGAGATGGTCTCCATGGGTGTGGGCAACAAGCCATTCCTGGATATCAAACCCAGTGAGGCAGCTATCAATGACCGTGCTATTGACTACATCATGAAAGGCAGAGGCAAGTGCTAACCATGTCTTTCTCCTTGCTCCCTGTGAGCTGGGCAGGATTTTTACTCAGGCTTCTTTGGTATGTTTTTTGGCAGGTGCCAGGACCAGAGCATCCATCGCGGTGTCTCTGTTTGACCATTCCAACCCCTACAAAAGGACACAGGCACAGCTCTCCACTGGCAGCACCCCTGCTGCATACAGCCCTTCCTCCTCCTCCCTGCTGGGGCCCCTCAACCTACACATGTACCTGGACCAGGCTCTACTGCCTGGCGTCCTGGCTCCCAGCCGCCCCTTTGACGTCAGCACCTGCATTGAGGAAGATGAGCTGGAGCATGAGACGAGCAGCCAGCCCTCACTGAGTACGTATGAGCCCAGCGCTCTGCAGCTCATCCCCACCTTTTGCTGTGAGCTGTGTGGTCAGATCAGGCTTCTCTGCAGTCCCCATCTTGTCTTGTCCCTGCCCTTCTGTGCCACCTCTGTCTCAATGTCCAAGTTGAGAGTTAGGTTGGATGCAGTAGTAAAGCACTCTGTGATCTGCAGCCATGCCTGTGGGAAGCTTGGTGGTTCTGGGGCTGCTGTGGCGTTGGCAACCAGTGCTACGTCTCTGACCTTTTGGTACAAGGCACTCCAGCTCTTGCTCTCAGTAGCCTGGTCTAGTGACCCCCTGGCTTCCCCTGCATGAACCTCCCTGGCCAGTGCCTACCAATCTCTAGCATCATTTGCCACACTTCCTTGGGTGATTTTGTGACCTACAGCTTTAAAGAGGCCCATACAGGAGTGTGGCTTATCTGTGGGCTTGTGTGGCCAGTGCCTCTGCAAGCAGATATATTATCAAGTGTGTATAGCATAGACCTATAGGCCAAATTCATGGTCGTCAGGGTGACCTTCCTCTCTTTCTTCCAGCGACAGAGAGCTCTGAGTCCTCACATTGCATGTCGGGCAGTGGCTCCAGTGGCTCCGACAGCGGCTGTGTCTCCAGCATCCCACAAGAAAGCTTCTGTGAAGACGTGGGCTCACCACCATACATGCCCCATAGCTCACAGCACAGCTCTGCGGTGGTGGAGAAACCCCAGTTCCCCAACAGCCAGTACATTTCTGCAGTAAGTGCGAGCAGCCAAAATCCTCTCTTCACTCTGCCTGTTCCTGCAACTGCCACCTCAGCTCAAGCCACCACCTCTCCTGGGGGGACATGAAGATGCTACTTTTGGTCTAGGGGTCACTGGGGGGAAGTGACGGTGACCACAGAGACTCAACCTCCTCCAGGGCGGATGAGAGCCCCTCTCTTGTGGAGCCTCCCCTTTGGTGGCCAGGGTCTTCAGGGAGGTGCTCTGGAAAGGACCTTCAGTGCTGGAGGCTGCATGGGGAGGGGATGCTGCACACACAGGAGCTATGATGTCATGGGCTTGGGTACATGCACGACCTCCTGGGATGAATGGGGCTCTGCTGCAGATGCTGCTGAGCTCCTTTCCTGGGAGGTTTGAGCCTTTTCTGGGGAGCAGTGAGATGGAGGAGCAGAAGCCTTTTGCTCTGAGCTGTCAGGGCATCTCCTGTTACGTTCCTGAGAGTTCTCAGCCGCTTCCCTTCCCACTAGATCATGTGCTGATGCTGTTGTCCTCTAACCCTGTACTAATGCTGGCTTCTCTCTTCTGCAGAAAGCAGGCCAGGTCACCATAAGTCCCTCGACAATAGTGTGAGCCCCTCTGCACACATATACCACCTAAGGAAGCAGAGTTGTAAGTAGCCCCTGAAGGGGATTTTCCAGCAGGTCTACATGCTGGTCAGGTTTGTCAGGGGAACCTTACCCTCAGCTTCTCAATTAAAACTTTTCCACACGCATTCCTGACTGGTCTCCGAGTTCTGATTCATTTGGTCAGACCAGCTTCCATAGAACTGTCACCTCAAACAGCCCATCTGATGCCTCCCTGGCTTGAAGCAGAAGCAAACAAGCAAAATCCCTTCCAGGCAGTAGTGGATTAAGTACCACCTTAGTCACCAGTGTTCAGATGAGCTGCTTTCCTCTGAATGCTGCCCAGCTGTCTAACCACTAATCTGTTTCTTGTGGCTGTTTGCTGAAATCCTGCTCTTAGTTATTCCCTCTGACATGCCCTGGAGAACCCACAGTATTCTCCCCAAGCTGGATTTATTGACAGTTTCCTTTGAACTTCCAAAGGAAACTGCACATCACCAGGTGGAGGAACCTGGGCTAGGATGCCCGAGGGAGCACCTGATTTCTGGAGGATGCCTTCACTGCCAGGAAATGGCTGTTGCTCTGAGGGAGGAGAGCACTGGTGTGGGTGCCAGCCTTTGGAAAGTCATGTCATGGCCCACTCACATCAGCCAGCTTCTTGCTTAGCTCCTTCCTCTCTGGCCTTAGGGTTGAGCCTCCCTGCCCACAGAGAGCAGAGGAATGCACGTAAGGGAGGCAGGATCAGGGCTGGAGTAGCCAAGGCACTAGGTGGCTGGTAGGTTTGGTACTGTGGGCTGTGCTGACCACACAGGCCCACAGCTCATATCCACAGGTACAGGAGTTCAAACCAGCTAAACAGAACCAGCCAAGGTTAAAATGTTATACCCTGAGCTGCTGGGGGAGTCACAGTTGAGGCTTTAGAAGTGGCTGCTGCTAGGACTGAGCCTTGGAGTGAGCTCTGAGGTGCAGATCGACTCACAGGGGAAGAGTCATGCTTCTCCTGCAAGGCTTTTCCAGTAAAAACACTCCTTCCCCACTCAAACACAGCTCTGACAAACAGTGGTTCTCAAGCATTTTCCAAGATCACCAGGGCAGAGGAACCGTGGGTCCTGCCCCATGGTGGGAGTGCAGCTGGTCTAACCCATTGCACGCTGCTGTGTTCCAGGTTTGATTGCCATTTCAAACTCCCTGAAGACCTCTGACCATCAGAAGGAGACAGTCTTCACCCGTGAAGATACGTTTTTTCTTACACATAATCACAAACAGCCCCAAACGTGACCTATGGCTGGGGGGAAGTCCCAGGAAGGTTTCTTTCAACTACATATAATAGCTTTGGTTTTGGATGGGGCCTTGGGGATTCAAAACATGTTTGCCTGATATTTATGAGTAATAGTAACATAGCTGTTTGGAGATAAAAAAAAGTATTATTTTTAAAGCTATGAGCTGTACAGATTTTGTTACAAGTGATTCTTTTACTATTTGTTCTGTAAGCTGCACATTTTATAAAGTTTTTGGAAGAGCATGAAGAGAAACTGAGGTATTTAAGTAAAAGTAGTGTAACTTTCTGTTTTGGGGTTATATTGGCCTGGAGCTCGAGATTTAACGTCTTTCCTTATGTTCTAAATATGCCTATCATAGCAGTAATTTATTTTCTTGGCTTAACACTTCTGTTTTAATAAAAGCAATTTCATTGTTATGGTGAATTGTTTCTTCAGATGATTTTTCCAGTGCCTTGGTGCTGAGCTTATCTGTGTGGTAACCTCCTGTCAGCTCCTTCGCTCTCTCTGTGCCACTTCTGCGCTAACCAGCTGCTGGCTAAACCGTGTCAACCCTGCACATATTACTGGGAGAGGGGAGAATTCCCAGATGCCAGTGGAAAGGCCAAGGCAGAGCAGGGAGCAGCCAGCAGATGTCGGTAGGAGTGTGGAAGAGGGGGTCCGGCTCTAATTTAAGCAATTTCCCAGCGTGGCTGCTGTCCTAGTGCCACATGTCCTCTGTGCCCCATGGGTCAGGTCTCATGGCACAGGGTGCAAGTGGCAGAGCTCAGATCCCACCATGCCTTGTCTTGATGATGCGCTGGGTTTTGGGGTGATGGGGCCTGACCACTCACATTGCCTCCACCTGAGCACCTCTCCACATATTCCAGTCTGTGGTTGTGGCTTGTTTGAAGAGCTTGGCATACTGAGAGCATCCAGGACCAGCAGGTTTGGGGTGTGATGGGTTGATTATAATGCCAAACATTTACTGCGTGTTGTTTGAAGTAGCACAGTGTAGCAGGAGCCCTACGCTCCAAAGTGCCCCAGGGGAAATGAAAATGAGCATTTTTGGAAACCATAGTGATTTGCTGCCAAGCTCCTGTTGGTTCACTCCTGGTTTGTGTAGTGCTGTAAGTCAGGCTCATCTGGTGTCTGTTGTGTTCAGCCTGAGGAAGAAGAAGCAGCAGTAACTTATGGCGTGTCTCAGCTGTTAAACCTCACAGGTCACCCTCAAGGTGCAGAGCAGGCTCCTTCCAGCCTGGGACCTCTGTGCTGTACATAAACCACTTGTTTGGTTTTAACAAGATGGATGTTTTGAAACCTTTGGTCTTTTTTCAACAGCAAAGAGAACACAGTTTGAAACCTTGGTACAAAGTTGTGTAGGAACAGTTGCACAGGGAAGATTTCAGAGGTTATTATTTTAAAGTAATTGCTGTGTTAATGCAATAGTCTTGGGCTGTCAGGACGCCTCTATCTCATGTCACGGGAGAGAGAGAACTTAACTAATGCAACAAGAGGAATATGAAACTTCCTGAATTTCTCAGTTTAAAGGTTTCTGCATTGCTGGAAAAACCATTACTCACATTTACCTGACACTGTTTCTTCAGGGTTTGATTGATTTGTCTAATAAAGGTTTTTTCTTTGTATGATCTCATTTGCATTGTATCTTGATTTCAGCATGGGCTGCAGTGGAGAAAGTGGGTGGGCTCAGGGCTTGTTGAGCCGTCTTGGAATACAAGTCAGGAACTGACAAGAGGTTTTTCGAGCCAGGGTGTTAGGGTGAGACTGATGGGATCTCACTGGAGTTCACATGGTTTTCCAGTGTGGGGTGTCAGCCCAGCACAGCAGCTTCTCCACAGCTGGGTGAGGAGGGAGGTGAACACTGGGCCATGGCTGGAAAATCACCAGGAGCATACAGGCAAAGCATGTCTTGTCTTGCAAGAGAATCATCTTCTGTTAGATAAACCCCACATGCTGCTGATCAAGGTATGAGAAATAAAACCAAAGGTGGCACCTGCTGCAAAGGTTCCTGCCTACACAGAGCTGCTGTTCAGAGTCGGGGAGCAGCTGAGCAAAACTCACAGAATCCCAGTCTGGTGTGGGAGGGAAGGGGCCTCAAAGCTCATCCAGTTCCAACCCCTGCCACATGCAGGGCCACCTTCCACTAGAGCAGGCTGCTCCAAGCCCCATCCAAACTGGATTTGAGCACTGCTAGGTCTGTAGTTCCCTGGGTCTTCCTTTTTCCCATGAGGGAGCTAGCAGATGTGGTTGCTAAGCCACTGTCCATCATATTTGAGAAGTGGCAGTCAGATGAAGTTCCTGCTGACTGGGAAAAGGGAAATACAACCCCCATTTTCAAGAAGGGGAAAATGGAAGACCCAGGAAATTACAAACCAGTCAGTCTCACCTCTGTGCCTGGCAAAATCTTGGAGCAGATCCTCTTGGAAACCACGCTAAGGCACATGAACAATAAAGGGGTAGTTGGTGACAGCCAGCATTGCTTCACTAGGGGCAAATTGTGCCTGACAAATCTGGTGGTCTTCTATGATGGAGCCATGGTGTTGTGGATAAGGGAAGAGCGACTGATAAAATCTGCCTGGACTTGTGCAGAGTGTTTGACACTGTCCCACATCCTTAGGAGACTGGTGATCAAAGTCATCTCACTTTGTGATGACTGATACAATTTGGAGACCTCATAGACTGATGTGTGTATGGAGGGAGCATGCCCTCTCCTTTAGGTATCCCTGTCCCTCCATTCCATCCTGCCGCAGTTGAAAGACGTCTTTTCCAGCACCAGAGCAGAGCTACCAGCAGAGGGGGCAGGTGGAGCATTTTTCAGCTGCACTACTCACGTTTTGCTGTCCCTGCCATGAAAACCCAACTGAAATCTGCAGAGGGATACAGTGATCTCCTCGCTGAGAACATTTTCCTTCTTGCTAAAGGTGTGCACACAGTGCTTCAGCCTGTGCAGAACCTTCAGTACAAGTGCCTGGCACAGCAATCAAGATAAAGGCATACACACTGAAAGATACATACGCAGAAACACATCTCTGAATCTCTACGTACCAATAATTTATGTTTAGATAATTTACTTCGGGGCTGAAAGGAAAAGTCTTAATTCTTTTACACAATATTCTTGTGCAAAGAAGAAAAGTCCCCATGCTTGCTTCCCCTCTAGCTGTCTAATAATGTAAAAGAAATGCACAAATTCACTCTGCTTACTTAAATTCAGCTGGCAAAAATAATTTCCCAAGTCTCAGAAAGCTGAGATCTTGCTGCAACATTTGCCCATCTCCATGGATTAGAACACTTAGGGGACAGGGGCAGCCACAGCTTCTCTGGGCACCCTGTGCCAGGGCCTCACCACACTCACAGGGAAGAACTTCTGCCTAAGATCTCATCTCAATTTCCCCTCTGTCAGATTAAAGCCATTCCCCTTGTCCCGTCCCTACAGGCCCTTGTCCAAAGCCCCTCTCCAGGTTTCTTGTATCCCCTTTAGGCACTGGAGCTGCTCTAAGGTCTCCCCTTAAGGAGCCTTCTCTTCTCCAGGCTGAACAAGCCCAGCTCTCTCAGCCTGGCTCCAGAGCAGAGCTGCTCCAGCCCCAGAGCATTTCCATGTCCATAGACGACAGGCTGGGTATGAGGTTATGCTGTATTTATTTGCATTTTATTACTTTCATTTGAATATTGAAGGAAGATATTTGTCATATTTCATTTGCTATTCTGTGTAACCAGCTCAGTATATGTCTATAGCAGGTTGTTCCAAGGTTTAACCTGAAGTATTGCATGATGTATAACCTTGCAATTTGCTGGCTTGTCATGATCCATTACCATAAACACATGTTAACTATGGAATGTGCATGCACAAGGGAATGTGAAGGTGATGCTTTAAGTCATTTGCCCCATGCTTTCTAGTTTGTCAAACAATCACAGTATGGAAAATAAAATGCAAAGCCCAGTGGAGTTTCAAAATCAAATGTCACACTGTTTAAGAGTTTACAGGTTCATTCTTGCCTCTTGATGTATTTTCCTCATCTATCTGAAGGAACCAGAGAGTATTATGGAATCTGAAGCAGAAGAGTTTGTTAATTTTAATGCTGGTGGTTGATATTTCTCAGTTCCCCAAAATAAAGTTTCCTGAATCTCTGTTGTGGAAAGAAGCTTCTGTACAAGATCAGTCTGAGAAGATTATTTATTGACCAAAGTTGTTTTGTATTTAGGCACCTTCATGATTATGTGCAGACTTCAAAGTTACCCCTTTCAGCTGTGCTGAATTGAACTTAGTGTATGAGCCAGCACTGATTTTGCATCTGACACCTTTGTCACAGGTAGAGCAGGATGTTCCAGGTGGCTTTTCTAGAGTGTTATTTTCCATTCTTAGATAACATTGTCTGTAGAAGGATGTCAAAGAGTTTGTGTCTATAACTTTACCAATGCTTGCAGTAGGCATACAGACAAATAATCAGCACATTCAAGTCCTCTGCCTTGGTTGGTGAGTACAGAAAATGTTCCAAATTTCATGCTTAACCTTTCTGGAAGAGCCCATTCAACAATCACTGCTTGGTTTGGGGGTTTCTTAACTAAAGTAAAAGCAAGCAGAGGCTTTTTATCTGCTTGATGACCAATTATACTGACAGATCTTGTTGAATAAGAATCCTTCTGTTGTTCCCTGAGAAGGTTCTGTCTGCCTAAAATCAAATTCGTCCTAATGGGACACCACTAAATTCTCATGTGAACTGGGGAAATAACAATTCTGCCTCCTCCCTATTCTGTAGCTGCATAAACAGAAATGTTAAATGTATATGCATAACAAATAGTTAATTTGCTACAAGTGTTTTGTATTGTAATTAGAGTGTAGGTTTCTATTGTGCCAGTGAAGGCTCAGTCCATGTTTCTTGCCTGGATGAAATGTGTATTTTCATACATTAATAGTTGTATTTCCTCTAAGTTTAATCTAAACATTGAGTTTCTTTTGGTTTCTAATGTTTTAGTTTTATTTTTATTTTTTGTGAAATTGTCTCAAAATTGCTATGACACTTGATATTTTTAACCCAAAACATCAACACTTTAGACTTAACAGGAACATTTTTGGATTTTTTTTTGGGCCTCTGTTTAAGATGTAGTATCTCCAAATAGTTTGGGAGAGGAAGACTACCAAATCCCAGTAGTCTATTGTGTTAGGAAATTACACACATATTTAACATGAGTTTGCTGCGACATGTCCAGGAACATGTTCTACCCAATGAGAATTCTTGCATTTTCTGGCTTTAAAGTGCTTTTCAGGGTAACCTTATTAATTTATGAAGGTATTTTGTGCACAAAGTCATAACCATGACCCTAAAGATACTTTATACTTAATATCCTGCAACAGCACAGAAACATTTATTCCAAGTTCCAAAATAATTCATCAGTCAGTATAAGATTAGGAAATAGAGACTGTTAATCAT